ACAACATCTTTGTTGGTATGTGGTGCTGAGGATCGAACCCGGGTCGCACGCATACCAGGCGAGCGCGCTACCACTTGAGCCACATCCCCAGCCCCAGCCACCAGGGCATTTGAAAGCATGCTTTTCTCTTTGCTGGTTAGGAATACCTTGCTCATCTATCATCATTATAAAAGTCTAACTCTTTTATGAGGCCTTCTTAGTTTCTTCTTATCTAACTCAGTATTTTTCTTACTTCCTTTTTCTGTCATTGCCTTTTAGCCGGGTGGACAGGATATACTTTCATAATTATCTCTCTATCCTCCATAGCGTTTAGAACAGTTACTTGTATGTAGTAGAAAGTCCAACAAGGTTGTATTTAATTTTTTAATATCATTTAAGATATTTTAGAGGTTAATCTTCTAAAGAAACTGCTTACTATCATTTGTAATTTTTTTATTTTTTTAAACAATACATAAGTACTTTGCATATGTGAGGGTCTGAAATATAATTTTTAGAGGTATTAGTTTAATAAACATTAATGAGGTAGGCACTCTGTCTTGGTCCTTTTAAAATATTTTCATATTTAATAATTAATAAACTAATATCAGGCACTCTTTACTTTTTTATTCAGGCAGAAGGAGAAAATGAAGTAAATAATGAATTGGCAAATCGAATGTCTTTGTTTTATGCTGAGGCAACCCCCATGCTGAAAACCTTAAGTGATGCTACAACAAAATTTGTATCAGAGGTAAGTATTGCCTAGGAAAGTATTCTTTGCATTGACACTCTTCCACCTATTGCAGACATGATGATCGCAGCAAGTCTCATGACTTTAAATACCTTCTCCACAAATGTGTACATTGAATCCTAACCTTTCCCTGAGACCCCCACACACAGGTCTGCCCACCTGTGGGCAGTCTCTCACTGAGGTACAGTAGATACCACAGTGATTACATGGCCTAATTGTACTATTGGTTGTCTTTTTCAACCTTGTCTTTTCCATTCTTGCCTTTCTCAATTAATAGTACCACTGTGCAAACAAAACTTTTGGGGTTATCATTTTAAATTCCGTTCTTTACCTCAGTCTCCACATCTATCTTATCAACCAGTCATTTTGACTTGTCCTCAAAAATATATTATGAATCTGAAAATCTAATCCATGTTATTGCTACCTACTCAGATCAAGCCACCACCCTGTCACCTGGATCACTGCATCCAAGCTGCAGTTGCTCTTCAGTTTTTCACTCTTAGCCCCACTGTAGTCCTTTCCCTGTATAGCAGCAGATAATCTTGAAACATAAACTATTCCATTCTTAGCTTAAAATGTGACTTACTAATACCCTTAGGATAAAATTCAAATACCATTTGAGCCTCCAGCCCATATCTGCATGGCCACTCTTTTTCTCCCTCAGCTAGCATGTAAGCACTTTTGGGGACAGCTGTATTTCAAGTTTGGTAGAACAGTGCCAGTGCTTAGAATCTAGGGCATTATTTAGAAAGTTAGGAGTAGGAGCTAAATAATAAAGTTGCTAATTTTTCATATTATGCTAAGTTTTAAGTTATTGTTAAATAACTTTGTCACTTTTCTTGTTCTCACACTTACAGAATAAAAATTTACCAATAGAAAATACCACAGACTGTTTAAGCACCATGGCTAGTGTATGTAGAGTCATGCTGGAAACTCCGTGAGTATTTTAGCTAACCTTTTCACTCCGATAATACTGTTGAAATGATTAGTATTTCAGAACATACTTAAATATGCACAGTTGCCAGATGCCCCACACTAGGAAGACTAATTAACTGGTCTCTTAGGAGCAGGAATTGTGTGGTGGTCTTTTGGGCAGGGGAGGGAGTAAGGGAAAAGCTCTAGTTATACCTGTTATAAAAACTGTTTATTTCTGTTTAGAAAGAACCTTGCCTTTTTGCCAGAGGGCTTTTTATCCTTTTCTCTCCTATTAGTTCTTTACACTTGAACCTGAATTCTTTTCTGAGAATTTTTTCCTGTCAACAAGCAGAAAGAATCCCTCTTGGGGTATTATTATATGTTTTTTATTAGGTAACTTTTTTTGTTTTGGTGGTACTTTTTWAAAAATACTATTCTCTACCTCATTGGAAAACCTCATGAAGCAGGAAGACAACTTTCCTCTTCCTCCTCCTCCTCACATCAGGGAACAAGGTCCTGGGAAATGAAGGACTTCATGCATGATGGCCAACCCACACATGTCTGGCTATCCCTGGGCTGGACCTGGATGCTCTCTGCTATGCCATACTGCCTACCATAAAGATGTTCATTTTTTTTCCCAAATGAGAGAAGAATATTGTTAAATTTTAGTAAAGTTCAAACCAAGTGTTATGATAATACATTTAGATCAAGCTGGGTTCTAAAATAGCAAACCAACTTGCTTTGTTAAGCTGGTGACTTTTCATCATATTATTGGCAGTAGTTATTGTGTAATATCCATCCCCAAACTGTTACTCAGAGGCTACTTTTGATTACTATAAAATTATCACTGCCTGTCAAGCAGAAGGGTTAATATACTAAGGTAGGTGCACATGGAAACTAGAAAATGTGACTATTCCACCACTTTCTTCTCTCTGGGGACCTCATTGTGGAGAAAAGGGCTTAATGTTAACAACCCTGTTAGAGAATAAAGGGAGAAGTCGGTATCAACTGAAAGAGAAGCTAGCTAAGAGTTTTGTGATGTGCCTCATCTTTTCTGCCCTCCAGGGAGTATAGAAGCAGATTTACAAATGAAGAGACAGTGTCATTCTGCTTGCGGGTAATGGTGGGTGTCATAATACTCTATGACCATGTACATCCAGTGGGAGCATTTGCCAAAACTTCCAAAATTGATGTAAGTTACACATTGTTTTATACAATTCCAAACAATTTCTTACATGAAAACCTCAGGCTTTTATTTAAAAAGCTGGCAATGGACTCTCATAGAACCTAATTATAGTCTGTGATAATGATGGATTTTCTGCTTTTGCCATATTTCTGGTAGCTTATTTACAAGTGGAATTTAGTGATTGAAGGAGAATGTATTGTTGTAGAATGTCTCCATAGGGTCCTTGTACATATTTGGCAATATAAATAGATAACCAAATAAGCAAAAATTTCAAATTATGTCCTTAAGTTCCTTTGGCCAAAGACCATTTCAAAGAAAATGTTTCTTTTCAAAGTATATACTAGAAGTCAGCAGTGTTGACTCCAAGAAAAAAGTAAAAGAGTTTACTTATTTTCTCTCCCCTTTCCATTCATAATAATTTGTGATTATAGCCAGAATTCTACTTTCATTGTCTTTGTAAAAGTTTATATTAGAAAAAAAAAGTCTTTTTCTGGTTTCTCTATTTTATTAGAGAAAACAATTACTATTTATAAGTAATTATATAAAATTTATTTTGTCACCCTCTCATATTTCATTTGTCAAAATCTGACTAGTATAAGTGTGTTACCATGTCCCAGGAATTTTGCATTTGTTTTCCTGTGTCACTGTGACAGTCCATTTAGGATATAGGTGTTATCTCCTCCTCTTCACTACTAGTGCAACTAAAGATAAGGAAATGAAGTAATAGAATTGTTAATGAATGGTAGAGTGAGGTGTTTAAACCTGCATTCTCTGGTTTCCCAAGTTCTTTTTTCACATTAACCAGGCTAATCTTCTTAAGGGCCACCTTCTTTGAGCTGTTCCCCTTTTTAACAGTTATAGTGAGTCCCTGTGCCTGGCCTGTCAGTTCTGCATGGTCTCTATGACTCCCCTCTCAGTCCTGCAAGACCTGCAAAATTCCTGGCTGCCATCTGCATGCTGTGAGGCCTCAAAAGTGCCTCTTTTCTTTGCTAGCATATCAATTCTGTCCTTTAAGTTGCTACTTAACATCTTTTCCAGGAAGTCTTCCCTTAGCAAACAGTTCACTTTTCCTTAGCGTGGGTTGTACTTGTAGTTTGACTGATTTGGTTCTCAAAAAGTTAAGTCTTACTGACAAACTGAAAATAACACTTAGGTTATTTAGGTGTGTGTGTGTGTGTGTGTTCTAAGAATGAATGATTTTCGGGCTAGGGTTATGGCTCAGTGGTAGAGCGCTTCCCTAGCATATGCAGGCCCTGGGTTCGATCCTCAGTGCTCATAAAAATAAATAAATAAAGATATTGTGTCCAACTAAAAAATAAATGTTAAATAAAAAGAATGAATAATTTGCTGTTTCTAGAATGTAATCTCTCAAGTTCTAAATTATTTGTGGTCCTGATTTATTTTTGTCTTATTGCTTTGAAAATAAATGTTAGATAAAAAAACGTATTTTGGTTTTTCTGTTTTTTTTTTTTTTTCCTTAGATGAAAGGCTGTATCAAAGTTCTTAAGGACCAACCTCCTAATAGTGTAGAAGGTCTTCTAAATGCTCTCAGGTGTGTATGTACACAAACATATGTATAGAAGAAATAGGTTAGGAAAAAATGTTTCAAATGTGAATAGTATGGATTCTGCCATTTCAGCTGAGTAGAAGCTTTGACTGCTTTTATTAAGATGATGGGAAGTGCTGTAGAAGCAAAGACTACCTGAATAAAGAAGATCTATTCTAAATGAACATAAGAAGGATTAGGAGCTTAGTTTTAAACTTTTTATAATGTAAAGCTATTTTAACCATAAGCCTCGTGTTTAGAATTTTGTCTCTTGAGGTTTTTATAGCACATACTTCATTGGTTTTTACCAATCCAGTGTTTTCTTTTCGTTCTTGGTTCTTTTCTGGGTACTCCTGTTGTCTCATCCTGGTTCCCCCATGTCCTTTTTTTTCTGATGGGTCTGACTCTGAAGCAGCAAGAGAAAGAAGTCTTCTGTTAAAACAGGAAATTGAGATCTAGGAGATTTGGTTATTTTGTCACCTTGAAGGAAGTATGCTTCAAATATTAGGTTAGAAACCTAGAATCTAGTATTATTTAGATTTTTAAGGGTAATTTGGTCCCATTTTTCTTAGAGTTAGGACAAAGGAGAGCAGTGTTGGTAAGGGAAGGATGSAGTGAAGGAGGAGGGGAGGAGGAGGAGTTAGCCTCCTTGGAGGCAGAAGGCACCTATCAGCTTTGTTAAGCTTTCTTTCCAAATATATAATGGAAAGTAGAAAACAGAATTTTGTGGTAAAGAAAATTCTTGAACTCTTTGGTTCTTAGTGTATTCTGTATGTTCTTTTTCACCTGGGAAGTTATATAAGCTTAGTCATTATACTTGGACGCTTTGTAGTAGTGGTTATGGTTAGTACCATTTCATAGCACCATAAATTGATAGTGAAATTTCATATATATGTATAAGAGTATTTTTTGCAGCTCACTTAGATAGGGGTGGGTATCAATATTGACAGTATCTCCATTATATGAGCTCAAAATTACCTTAAGTTCTGAAGAACCAGAGATTATACAGTTAGTAAATGTTGGAACCTGTTTTCAAATTCAGGATTTCATTCTTGATATTCCAAATACTTTATGCTGTCCCATTAAGTCTTGAGTTTATCATGTGTTGAACTTTAGTATGATCACTTGGACAATTGTGAAAAATGCAGATTCCCAAGTCACCACCTTCAGAAATCTCTTTCATTAGATCTGAATTAGACTCAGGCACTTCATTTTAAACAAACACCCTGGCTGATATTTTGAGAAACATTGCTTAAACTAACTTGACCCAGCCTACAATATGCTACACTCAGCAAATGAGATAATGTTAAGGAAGTATTTTAGAACCCCAAAAATATATTATGCAAGTGTTATTTAGAGCCCTATAAACTAGAATTTTCCTTTAAAGAATTAATGACCAGAAGATTTTAAATGGAAGTATAATTGCATCTGTGTTCATGTGTATATTTTGAGTGCTGTTCTGCAGTAATTATATAGTATCTACAGCTTGCTGTATTCCTATTTAGAGAAAGTAACAGGTCATGTGTACATTTTACCTGTGGAGAAATGGAAGCAAATATCTTAGTCATGAGAGGTTGAGTAGTAGATGAGTGGCTTATTAAATTTAAGAGGAAAAGTAAATAATAGTTGTTTCTTCAGAAGAAAAGTCATACACACTTGGAAAAGGACTTTGTTTTTATGCACAAAGGGAAAGAACAACAGACTCTTCATAACGTTATTTTCACATACATTTGTTATTATTGGCTTTTTCTTAATAAAATAGTGATGTAGACTGACTGTCCAGGGACAGCTGAGAATGGCTAGAAGCCAGGGTCACATCTACAGAAGAGATTTGTGTTATGGTAGATAGAGGAAAACACTCGAGTTCTTTAAGTGTCACAACGTGGGGTTGGGGTTGGGGTTGCAGCTCAGTGGTAGAGCCCTTGCCTAGCATGTGGGAGCCCCTGGGTTCACCCCTTGGCACCACATAAAAATTAAATTAAGTTATTGTGTCCATCTACAACTAAAAAAAATTTTTTTAAAAAGTCACAACGTATTGCATAGAAATATTTCTAATGCTTCTGCAATAGATTTATTGTGTACATTGCTTGTTTTTTTCCAACATAGGAGAAATAGAAAAAAAAACAGAAGGGAAGAGTTGACTATCAGAACTTTGTTTACTGACATCAGGAGGATCATGTGTAGCTTTATATACTTTATCTGCATACATGGAATAGAAGGGCTAAGTCTTTGCCATATATGAAATTATGAAATTACTACCCATTTAATATAAATATTCCTCTATAGGTTTTTCTTGCTAGCTTGGCAACCTACCTTTTCTTTCTACCACAAATATTGATAGAACCTCTGTTATGTACCAGTTACTCTGGTGTTTATAATAAAAGAACAGGTTAGGAGTCATTTCTCAGTGACATCATAAAGAATACTTAATGTTAGGTATTTTTTAAGCATGTGTCTATCTCTTTGCCTCTCCAAAGATCTCTGTGAGTAAAGTATTCAAAAATTAATACTTTAATTTTTTAATTTATTTGAAATAAACCTCACAGTTGACTTTAAATTCCTTTAACAGAGAAGGATCGTCTTTGTGAACTTGCTTAAAATGATCTAATCCTTAAAAAGATTATATATGAAATTCTTTTAAACCAAATTAATTTGAATGAATTATCTCCAAAATATAACTCATATTGCATATCTGTCTTCATTGTTACTAATCCAATCAAGCCTTGGGCATCTGTCTTGATCCTAAGTAGCAGGAATCCTTAGGATTCCTGTGGTGAATCTTCATTCACCATTTAGTTGGGGGATTCTTAGTTTGGATTTGCATGCTCAAGTGGAATGTATCTGCTGGAAATAAGGTACTTAAAGAGAATTGAGACATTTTTAGGGATGTGAGCTATAGTCTTTGAGCTATTTTAGTACAGAATAGAACAGAGCTGTAAGGGACCAGAGAGAAGGTAAGTAGTTCAGGCTTTCWGGGCCACATGGTTTCTGTCACAGCTATTCAGCTCTGCCATTGTGGCAATAAAGTAACCATAGATAATAACATAAATTAATCAACTCAGTATATTCCAATACAACTTTTTTATGTTAACACTGAAATTTTAATTTCATATAATTTCCATGTTAACATCAAATATTACTATTCTTTTGATCTGCTTCTCCACCCCTAGCCATCTAGAGTATAAAAAAATATAAATATGCTTGGCTCACAGTTCATTCACAAATAGGTAGTGGATTAGACTTGGGCCCTAATTTACCAGCCATTGTAATAGAACCATTGACTTTCCTCTGAGACAAAGGTTGCCAGTTGTGTACTTGTGAGTTGAACCAATCATTTCAGCAAGGTAGTTGTAATTAAGTGAAACAGTGATTGGCTGTTCTGTTAGGTGGTGAACAATCAAAACTGGGTAGCCGCAATGAGAATGCTAAATAATCTTGTGAGAGATGTACCTGACCAGTTGCTCATTTTGTTGTAATCATAGAGCTGGATGTGGAGTTTGTTTAGTTCCCTAATTGATCAAGGTTTTCTTTTAGGTACACAACAAAACATTTGAATGATGAGACTACCTCCAAGCAAATTAAATCCATGCTGCAATAACTGTTCTGGAGTAAGCACCTGCTGTAGACAGAAGACAGTATTCTGCAATGACTGAGAATGCAGTTTTTTAGTGATTGCAATTACTATCTCATTTATTCTTGCTTTTATTTCTTTCCTCGGTTCCTCTTCCCTCTTTTTTAATCATGTTCTTGTTCTTAAGACTTCTTTTCTGTGCCAAAATCAGTAAAATTATACTCTGAGGGGACGTTGTCCTTTCAAACAGGCCATCTAAGGCAGCTAATTATGCATTGCATTGGGTTCTCTACTGAGAAAAATTCTGTGACTTGAACTAAATATTTTTAAATGTGGATTTTTTTTGAAAACTAATATTTAATATTGCTTCTCCTGCATGGCAAAACTGCCTACTCTGCTATTTAAAAAACTTCAATGACTTTATTTTCTACTGCCGCTTTTTTCATGTGCAGCCAAAATGAAAATGTTTAAATTAATTGTGTTGTACAAATGGTACTCAACACAAAACTTTTTTTAAATTAGTTAAGACTTTTGTTTAAAGTTTTAAGTTTGCATTTTGACTTTTTTTAAAGGATGTATGTTGTGTGTTTAACCTTTATTAACTAACGTTAAAAACTGTGATGTGTGCGTAGATATTACGTATGCATGTTCATGTTTAAAGGATGGCTGTTGATGATAAAATAAAAATCAGCTTTCATTTTTCTAAGTGTGGTTTGGTTTACTGATGTTTTGTTTTTAGGCTGGTGAAGTTTTCCCCATGTATAGTTTTATGGAATGCATATATACATTGCATAATTTTTCCTTCTGTTAGGGTATAGACAATTGGGTCTCTAGTATTGTCTATGTACATCATTTTAATCGCTTTTAGAACTGCTATGTATATAAGCCCAGGATCTTGTCATTAACTTGCCTTCTCTTCTTGATTTATTCTTCATGGACATAGTGATAGAAGGAAATGCACGCTTGCTTGATTCTTGGTTTCAGGAGTGCAAGGGCAGCATCATGAAGCATGAGGTGTGGAAGGAAGAGTGGCCCTTAACACTGGGAGAAGAGTGAATAGAAGAGGGACTTCCCAGGAGGCAATTAAAGGCCATGATCTCAGTGGTGGTAGAAAACTAACATGTTTTTTAGTTTAAGGGTCATAAAACCTAAATCATGCAATCTGAATCTCTTGGTTGGGAGAAGCTGCTTGAAGGTTGTCTAATCTAATGTGGCAGTAGTGTAATGAAGAGTATCTGAGGTATGTAATACAGTTAAAATGGATAACCATGGAAGAACATCACTGCAGTTCCCACAGAACCTTCTGGATTCATCCACCAGATCATGGCACACACAGCCCTTCCTGACCAAATTCCTGCTGACTTATCTGGCCTCCTGCCCGATACTCTCCCACTCCCACTTCACACCCAGTTCTGCAGCTGCGCTCAACTCCTTGCTGTTCACAGATCACTCCACATACGTCCATAATTCTGATCTGTCTGGAACCTGAACCTGGTTTCCTCTTTCTCCTCCTTTTGTATCTGACCAATACCAACTCTCTTTCAAGGATCAGTGTATGTTACCTCCTTCATGAAACTTTTTGGATAATATTGGCATCTTTCTAGGCATCTTCTAAGAATATTGTAATGGGCTGAATAGTAACACACACCCCCAATACATCTCTCTGGAATCTATAAATATTACTCCATTTGGAAAAAGGGTATTTGCAAATGAAAATAAGAACTTATAGAGATGACATCATCTTGGATTAAGATTGGCCCCAAATCCAATGACAAGTTCTTAGAAGAGAAAAGAACGGGAAACACACACAAAGCAGAAGCTAGCCATGGAAGGATGGAGGCACAGGTGAGCAGTGTATCTACAAACCAAGGAACTCAAGAATTGCTGGAGCCACAGAAACTAAGAGAGTCGAGAACAGGGTCTCCCTGAGAGCCTCCAGAAGTTTCCAACCTTGCTGATGTTTTGATTTCAGACTTCTGTTCTCTAAGACTGTGAAGCCACCCAGTATATGGTAATTTGTTACTATTGCCTAAGAACTTAATACAAGTATCTTATAGAACACCTCTGAAATATAACTGCACTTTGGGGTGTCTTTTCTGATACTAGGAGAAGCATAATGTCTGGAGAGAAGAGCCACGTCTTAATTGTCCTTCAGTGACCCAAAGAAGGAACTTGCACAGTACCCAAATTTGAATAGGTGCCAAGAGAATGCTTGAATAGCGTGAATGGATACAAATAAATAATGATTGAAATAGAGGTAGTGATACTGCTGTGGTCTATTTGGTAATATAGTTCACAATCTGCATGTGGAAGAATAAGTGGGAAAAATCCCTTAACTCTAGCCCTGAGGTCAGCAAAAACTGGTCTGTGGGCCTGTTCACCCAAGATCCATTTTTGTATAGCCTGTGAACTGAGAATGGCTTTAAAAAAAGGTTGGAAAAGAGAATAACAAATGGTTTTTTAAAAGGTTGAAAAAATATTTTGTAGCATGATAAAAGTATATGAAATTCAAATTCCAGTGTTCACAAATAAAATTTTATTGAAACATTGCCTCACTTTTTGTTTATATATTATTTTTGGCTACTTTAGCATTATAGCAGTAGAATTGAATTGTTGTGGTCCTCRGGCAAAAACATTTACTGTTCCTCTACAGAATTTGCTCATCCCTCCCCTAGTTACCAGAGAAGGTTATTTGAAGACCTCAAGTACTAGGAGCATGCTGCTGCTGTGGGATAAAAGGAGTCATCCCTGCTGCCAGATGGTTTCAGCTTCGGGTCTAATATTGCTGTTCAAATAGCCTAAAGATAGCAAGTAGGAATCTTCTCACCTGCCACATCTCATCTCTAGCATCTGCCATTTGAATGGATAATCATGGGGCTGGGCACAGACTCATCAGGAAAGAGGGCTAGGATTAGTTGGCAGGGTCTGCCCTGCCTTTTGGGGAGAGGTGTGGCCCCATTCTGATGTAGGTAAATTTTATCACTCTTTAGCTGGCCGCCTCTTACCTCATAGGCAAGCCCTCATGCCTCTCTCCTCACCATAGTGAGGTAAGGCATTGCATCATTTACCAACTATACTTACGATTATTCATTGTCCCATTTCTGCATCCTTCAATATGAATCAGTGACATGTAACTGGTCATTTTCTCACTTTAAAAGATTTGGATTAAAAAGTGTTCTTGACTAGCCAGGTATGTGTTGTATACCTGTAATCCCAGTGATTTGAGAGGCAGGGGGATCCCAAGTTCAAGGGCATTCTGGGTGACTTAAACAAGATCCTGTCTCAAAAGTGGGGATGGGGATATAGTTCAGTAGTAGAGTTCCCTGAGTTCAATCTGCAATACTGAATTTAAAAAATAAAAATAAAAGATATTTGGGGCTAATAAAAGATTGTTTTACATATTATACTTGTCCTAAGAACAACTGGCATTTGTGCTTAAATTTAGGTCTTTTGAATTAGTATGCCATTCCAGCTCTGTTTGAGGTTGCAGTAATGGCAATTCCAGAAATTCTTATAAAGTAATCCCTTACAGAACATACTTTAAAATCTCTAGAATAAGATAGACCATGGAAGATATAATGGGACGGTCTGTGTTGAATCGGGAGACCCCAGTCCTGTCATTTCTTAGGAGCTCTGTTTTCCTTACCAATAAAATGAGAACTGAAACAAATGATCTCTAATATTGATTTCCATGTCACACACAACACCTGTCTTTTCTCTGCTGTCTGAAAAGGTGAAAGTACTTTAGCCAGTGTTTGGCCTCCCTGGCTTGGATTAAATCTCATGTCCTTATTGATAAAATGAAATAATCCTAACATCTTCCTCTCACATCAGGTATGGTGGTGCACACCTGTAATCCCAGTAACTCTGCTGAGGCAGGCAGGATTGCAAGTTCAAGGCCAGCCTTAGTAATTTATTACCCAGGCCCTAGACAACTTAGTAAGACCTTGTCTCAAAAAAATGGGTTGGGGATGTGGCTCAGTGTTTAAGTGCTCTTGGGTTCAATCTCAGTACCAAAACCTTCCTCTCTAGGGTGACCGCAAGGATTATGTTAGTTTATGTCCATTACATCCTGTGCATGTAATAAATGCTTGGTGTTAGTACTGACTGTGGTCTATTTCAGATATCGTGTTCATGAACATGCATTGTTCTTCATTTATCCACAGTAACCAACACACTAGTTCTAACTATTTAGTTAATGCTAGGTAATTCTGCACAATTTTTTTCAAGTACTGAGGATTGAACCCATAGTCACATACTAGGCAAGCTGTCTACCATTGAGCTACATCCCCAGTCCATTTTAAGACAGTCTTGCTACATTGCCCAAGCCAGCCTCAAACTTGTGATCCTTCTGCTTCAGCATTCCAAATAGCTGGAACTGCGTGAGTGCATCACCAATCCTAGCAATGCTGCACAATTTAATCCTTTAGAAAGATACTGTAACTACTAACAAAAATTTAGTGTGTGATAACAAGTTTTCTAAATGGGCAGGAGGTTACCTGCATATTTGCAATTTGTTTCTTGTAGTGTTGGGGATGAACTCAAGGCCTTGTGCTTGCTAGGCAAGCACTCTACCATTGAACTATATATCCACAGCCTGTACAACTATTGTAAACATCAAGCTCTAATATATGATATGTTGCCTTAGCACATTCACAAGCAGTTTTTCTGTCGATAACATTTAGTAAATAAGAGGCACACATAATTTGTATCCTAGGACAATAATGATGGGTAAGAAGCACCAGTTTTCGGGTACGCAGAGAGGACATTTGGGATCAAGGAAGCCATATGTTCTCTAGTATCCAGTCTGAATATTAACACAAAATACCAGGATCTTTTCCTCTCTTGTTTTGAAGGGAGGTAAGGTAGGTAGGTAGGCAGTTGTTAAACAAAATAGCAGGATCTATCCATATTCATTCTTATATTCTCTCTCTCTCTCTCTCTCTCTCTCTCTCTCTCTCTCTCTCTCTCTCTCTCTCTCTCTCTCTCTCTCTCTCTATTTTGAAAAACTCTCAAAGACTAATCTGTGGTATAATGGAGATAAGTTAGATAGGCCTGGGTCATCCAACTAAATTCTATGGCCTTGGCGGCTCCTTAAAGTTGCTGAAGTCTCAACTTCCTCTCCTGTAAAACAGAAAATAGTGGTTGTGAGGAATACATGAGATTTGGCAGCTGCTGTGGAACTTTTGGTTTCATCATTTTCTGAAGCTGACACATCARGTTTTCACAACTGAAAGTTAACACTACCTGTAAGCATGCAGGTGAGTCCACTTTTATATTTTAAGGTGCATAAAGCAGTTTGTCCATATCTTATTGATGTTAACCCTCCCTGGGAAGATATTGAGACCTTTGGGTATAATGCTTCCATCTATTCTTAGGCCCCCATGCCCTCCCTGGGGGGAGTAATGCTGTATGATCAATTTGCTTGGTGAAGTGGAATCCTAGGGCACATTCAGGCTGAGAATGTTCTGTCTTCCTGGCAGTCTCCTTTACTATGTGCCTTACACTTGGAATTAGCGGAGTGATGGTGTGATTTTTGTTTAATGCTTGCCCTCTCTCCCACTTCAGATGTCAGCTCTGTAAGAATAGGACCTGTTCCCTGCACAGCTGTGTTCCCAGTACCTTGACATCATAAATCACTAGATTATGTGGTGGAAGACACTAAGTGCTATTGAAAATTCTAGGTAGGCTAGGAGTGCTGGGCAGGACAGAGTTTGCAATTTCCCAGGGTGGATGAGGGAGGGTAGGTCTCATTAAGGAGCATTACTCAGGCTTAAAGAAGAATGACTTTAGGACATTGGCCAGGAAATGGATGAATTGGAAGACTATCATCCTAAGTGAAATGAGCCAGTCCCAAGAAGTCAAACGTCAAATGTTTTAATATGTGGAAGCTAACCTACAATAAGGGGGGAAGAGGGGAAGAATAGTTTTCAGTAGATGAGACAAAGGGGAATGAAGGGAAGGAAGCAGGGATAGGAAAAGGAAAACAGTGGGATGAATCCATAATAATTTTCCTATATACATATATGAATACACCATAGTGAATCCCACTATCATGTCCATCCACAAGAATGGGGTCCTAATTAGAATAAGTTATATTCCAAGTTTGTATAATTACATCAGAATTAATTCTATCATATATAATTAAAGAGAACCAATTTAAAAAAAAAAAAAAGCATGCAAGCCAAGCTAGGAAGGAAGGCAGGCAATTGTTAGTGAGAATCTGGAAGGAGCCCAGAACAGGTGCAGAGGCCTTGGCACAGGAGGGGCTGGAGCAGAGCCCAAAGGAAGGAAGATGCAGGCAGGGCTCATGGGTCAGATCATTGGAAGCCTATGGCCCCTGGGAAATTTGGGCTGTTCTTGAGACATTGGAGAGCTCGGAGACAAGGAGTGACATGATCTGATGTAATTAAAACACTTCATTCCAACTGCCCTGCCAAGAACAGACAGGCTCAGGGAGACCAGTTAAACAATTGCTATGATGGAGGCTAGGAATTTTGGCAGGTGGTTGCAATAATGTGGCAAGTTGATGGTTCTATCTTCAAATTACATCCTGAAGTGCCCACAGGATGTAATTTGAAGACAGAACCATCGACTTCTCTAGCAGACAGGATGTATGAGAGTGGGGTCCAGAGTGACGCTAGATGGGTGGAGATGGGACATTGGGGTGGAGCAGACTGGGGTG